GTAGAAGATCTTCTGCTATGGTGGGTATTAGTCTGTTCAAAAGAATTCTTGCAAGGATTTTACCAGCAATGAAGAGCAGAGTAATACCTCGGTAATTTGACCAGTCTGATTTATCTCCTTTCCTCTTGTACAAGGTGATGATGACAGCGTCACGAAGGTCTGAAGGCACTACACCTCGTTCCCAGCAGCACACCACAAATTCGTGAAAACTTAACATGGAGTGCTTGGCCACCGTACTTCCAAATTTCAGGTGGGATTCCATCAACCCCAGCTGCCTTGCCAATTTTCACCTGCTGTATTGCTTTAAGAGTTTCTCCCATGGTGAGGGCAGTGTCCAGTTCTGTTTTCACTGGTTGTTGTGAAATGAACTGCATTGCTGAGTCCTGAACTACACGGCTAGTACTGAAGAGAGTCTGGAAGTGTTCAGACCATCGATTCAAAATGGAAACTTTATCTGTGAGAAGCGTTTGGCCATCTGCACTGAGTAGAGGGCTTTGAACCTGGCGTGTAGGACCATAGGCTGTTTTCAGACCCTCATAGAATCCCCATTCAAACACTACAAAAAAGCACTTATTGCAGTGAGAGTTAAAAAAACTATTAGCAAAGAGAATCAAAAGTTAAAAAGAATACAAAAAACCCCCTACTTTATCTATTGGCGTTCATATAATACTATGAACATCCTCTATAAAGTATTAGTTACTACAAGGAGAATTAAAGAGATACAATATTAGCCAGTAAAAATGGGAATTAAAGAGATAAAAAAAGGATATAAAACTTCGGCTTTCGCTTTGCTTCCTACCAATAAACTGTGCTCACCTGCACAGACAGGCCAGGCCTACCAGGCTCTGCAGGGCTGGTCGGTGCCCGTGCTCGGTGGGTGTCCCCGCGGAGCAGCACAGTGTGGATGGAAGGATGAGCATCGCTCCACCCAGCAGTGCTGACACCCCATTCCATCAGCTTTACATTACACTACGTAGGGCCAGGACGCAGTATAAGGTGGTGCTTGAGAGGCAGCCAAACAGCACCCGTTCATCACCTCATGGCAACAGTGTGGGCGTGCCCCACTGGAGGGCAAGGGGCCAACAACCCCTGCCCACATCATCTTCCTCTCCATCACCTTCCTCAGCCCTAGGGACAACCTGTCCCATTGTGTTCCAAGGGGATTTGTATCTCTCTTGCAGAGTGGAGCCAAGCCAAGAAGGAACTCAGCTCTGATAATGGGGGACATCCAGTTGACTTT